AAAGGCTTTGACCATGCAATGGCTTATTCTGGATTTCGTTTCTGAATTCTGGATTTGGCTATAATTAGCAAAGCTATAACCGTCATCATGCCCGAAGCCAGGAAGAAGACACCATTCACAAACCACCCCCTGAAAATCTGCGGTTGCCACTAAAAAACCAGACTTCCCAGCAGGCAAAGACATCTGAGGTGGGAGGGGTCAAACGGGTGTCTGCGTCAAGAGGAGACCTCACATGCTCGTCACCAACCTCCCTGCCTGGCACTGAAGCTCTCCGCAGCCTTATTTCCTTTTCTCTCCAACATACCTTCTGCTCTGGTCAAACACCCTCATTGTCTCCCCAGTCCTTTCTGTAACACTGGTCACCCCACTCCCCCATCTGCTTGTGCTTCAAGCTTCTTACGGCTCTTCGAACCTTCGGGACCACTGTGTCCCCAGACACCAGCCACCTCCTTGCCTCCCCCTACAGGGCTGAGGCACAGAGGGAGGCAGGGGCATCCTGGACAGCTGGTCAGGAGTTACTCAGAAAGCCTAGAGCCACTGAGGAAAGTGAGCAGCCAGCATAGCCGGGGAGCAAAAGTAAAAGAAGTTCCTCCAACCTCATCACATCCCTCTTTCCTGGACTCTAAAAGGGAAACCTGTACTAACCAAAATGGTAACACCCAACTAGTCGGTACTCCCAGAACTCATCATACTGTCTCCCCTCTCCTCACTTCTGCATTTGCTATTCTTCCTGCTTAGAAAGGCCTGGGTCACCCTCATCTGGAACACCTGCTGGGTAATTTCCACTCCTGTTCAAACGGCACTTTGTCCGGAAACCCTCAGCCCCAGGCCCCTTTCTCTTTCATCACCTCATGACATCTTTCTACCACATACTAGACCCCCAGGGCCGTGCTAAGTGCTGGACACTTATCTTAGGGTTATTTGTTGGGCTGTGAGCTCCTTAAGAGCCTGGCCCAAGTCCCATTTGTTCCAGTACTCTGGAGCCTAACACAGTGCCTGCCACAAAGAAGGCACCAACAAACGTCCACTAAATGAATACAGGCACGCGTAATATTGATACCAAGAGTACATACATATGTCATTCATACACATATCTATACACACAGACACACGTACATGTTTGTTTGGCTCAGGTGGTTTCACACATTTTTTTTTAAGCCTCACTATCTTGTACCGTAGGTAGGAGAAATTGTCAAAGTTTATTGACATGGAAACTCAGTAGTTCTCATTAGCCCGAGACCTGAATTCCTTTTAACAGAGGTCAGAAAACTGTCCTAAAGAGCCACCTGGCCCGCCTTAGACAGAACTGATGAAGTTCTGGAATGTTGTCCTGGACACAGCAGGTAGTCAACATTTACTGATTGTCGAGAACTCAAATGTAAGGTCCCATACAGTGCAGGAGGGATGGTAAAAGCACAGCTTCTCAGCCCTCCTTTGAGCATTGTTCCACTTTCCCCATTGAGCTCATTCTGGAAGCTTAAACCAAAGCTCCCCTTGACATCACGTGCCCGTTACCTCAGACATGATTTAGCATCTTATCATGGCATCTTCCTGGAGGAAGCTAGAGAGAAATATCCTCCCCAGTACCAGCCTAGAGAGAGCCAGGTCCCTCTGAAGTCCTGACTGAGAGCCTTCACCTCCCCCAGACAAACCCCCGGTGGACTAGTCAGTGAAACCTGGTGAGCAGGGCTGGTGGCGCTGATGGCAAGCTGGCTGCCCATCTCCTGTCTTACTCCGGCACCACCTCCTTGGGGTTCTTGCAGTTCCTCACTACAAAGCACAGACCAAACCCACATGGAGGAGAAGGGAATGGTCAGAGGGATGAGGTGGTTAACAGGGTGTTGTGTCTGAAGCCCATCACACCACCATTCCCTGAACCACTCGGCCACTGCCCTGGGCACCTAAGGCACAACTCGCATCATCCTTAGACAACTCTGGCTGGGACGGATGGCAAGGTCGGTACCTGGGGACTCAAAGAGAAGAGGGTCCAAGAAGGCATATGGCTCCCCAAAACATCTGTGGACCCTTTAAGGAGCTGCTGAGGGCTCTGAAAGAACATCTGGCTCTGTCCACCCACAAAGGGGGAAAGGAGAGCCACAGATTGCCGCAGTGGAACTAGCTTTCACACTGCCCCCCACTCCTCTTTAACTACATATGCATGTTATACACATATATGTAGCTGGTAAATAACGGCTACCAATTATTGAACATCTGAAAAACGTTCAATACTTTACGTACATTGCCTCATTTAGTCTTCAAGACCGCTCCACAGGGCAGTGCTTCTGAAATGTTAGCTTGCAGCAAAATCTCTCCAGGAACTTGTGGAAGCCCCACACCCACAGTTTATGGGGCAAGGCCTGAGAATTCTCATTTCTTTCTTTTTTTTTTGAGAATTCGCATTTCAAACGAGCTCGCAAGATCTGCTGATGCCCGACCCAGGCGCCACACTTTGAGAACCACTGCCATAGGGAAACGGAGATTCAAGAGAGGTTGAAACGTCTTACCCAAGGTTTCACAGCTGGTAAAGAACAGATCAGAATTAGAACCTAGATCCGCCAGCTTCTACAGACAGTGCTGGTAACTACACTGCTGCATGGCTGAATGCTTGCCTTGTCTCCTCTAATTCACCGACAGCTCCTTAAAAGCAAGCATCACTCTTTAAAGCTCCATATACCCTTCTCAGAACCTAGTAGCACCTTTGTACTTGGTGGGTACCACCCAAATACTTTGTAAACTGGCTCCAACATAGCTGCATACTTCTAAGAACCACAAATTCGAATTCATTTACAGTCAAAGAACATAAAGAGGGCAACACTGCCAGACTCAGTTTTACACGGCACTCTCTTGCTACTCTGAGTCTCCGTCCACACCATCATCATACCTGGAAAACTCCTACTCAGTCTTCAGTCAGTCACTTCCTGCAGCATGCAATTTTTGGCTCTCTAAAATTGGAGGCCGCAGCCCCCTAAGCTTATCTCCGTCATAGCACATACCAGTTACTTTAACTGGATGGTTTCCATCTCTCAAAGTAGTTTGTAAATTCCAGCATCTAGTTTTAAATTGTATCCCCAGAGGCTAGCCCAGTGCCTGGATTTTCAGAGACTCTGCCTGTTTGTTGAATGAAAAAAATGAATGAAGGCAGAGCTGCAAGTCCTAAGTACCACTTGAAGATACCATAATGTACAATGTGGAATTCTCAGGGATAAATTCTGGGGAAGAAGAGGGCAGCCTGGATAACAAAGACCAATTTTGCCTTTTCTCTTCCCCATTGACTTAGACTCTGAGAAGAGGCACCGCTTAGGGTAGCCCCATCTCTAATGAGACAATATCCTAGCTGAACGAAATGTTTCTGGACTATAAGGTCAGCAGAGGCCACTGAGAGGGAAGGAAAGAGCTCTGCGCCCCCTCATCCCTCCAGATTTCTCTCACGCACACTCCTCCATTTCTCCATCCCGCTGCAGTCAAGGGCTTTGGCAGGGATGAAAGAGACAGAACAGACTCAAGGGTGCGGATCTGGCAGCGGGCACAGGAGCTTCTCCCATCCTGCACCAAAGCCCACAGGGAAAGATCCAGAGGGACAGTGACTCAGGCCCCGGATTAAGTCCAACTAGAGCAGTACTGAGGATGGAAAAGAGCAATGATTTCACAAGGACATTTATTGCCAGATCTTTTAAAAAACAGTGCTTTTAAAATAAAGGCTTCAACCCTAACCCCGGCAAACTGGGCCCAGCTAAATCCCGTGCTGACACAGGCTGAGAGCCAAACACAGCTTCTACCTCCTCCCGACCCACCGCCTGCAACACTCACCACAACCGGCATTTCCCAGGTCCAGGTCAGGACCCTAGCTCCAAGCCTAGCTTGCAGAAAGTCTCCTTCCCCAGCTGAAAAACTGTTCCCCCACCATGTTGCAGTAATAGAGGCCTCCCCTTCCCCCATCCCCTCTCAGCCAATAACACAACCTACAGCAGGTTGGCCCCATCCAATTAGTTTGAATAGCTTCACGCCAAGGAAATTGCTGCTTTTATTAAAAATAAAAGCACACTAGGCAGGCAATGGGCTGTGAAAAGTATGAGTCTGGCATAATTATGAAGGTCGAGGTTAAGGTTACCAAAAGAGACATAAAAAGATATCCAGAAAGCCTGGAGGATAAAGATATACAACTACGTGTCTAAAGACATACAGATGAACACACACATAGGGAATTTACACAGATCTAAGTAACATCCTCTCCCGTAGAGGAAAATCAAAAATCAGATGCCACTCTCTCAAGTTCTTTTGGCAGGGGGTAAAAAAAAAAACACACACACACAAAATCCAAAACCAAAAAACAAGAACAGGCGGAAGAGGGGCCTACTGGACTGACTTCAAAATTACCACATTTCATTTCATGTAAGTTCTGTTATCTTAGCTACATCCTGGGGGCCTGATTATAGTTGGGTCAGGAAACAAACCTAGTCAAATCCACCAAGAGCCCTGGCTCTCAGAAAAACACATTCCTATTCTCCAAAAAGCCTCTCTGCCTTCCAATGCCTGCTCATGGGAGTGGGAAAGTTGGATATAAGGGGAAACCCCTCTTTCTTTTTAAAGGTCCTCCATCCCCACCCTTTGGCCCTCAAATCAATATTTCAAGTTTTAGGAGGATGACAAGCCCTGAATCCTACATTTGAGGTGAAGCTTCATACTTTCACACATATGTTTTCTTGTCGGATTCTCATAATTCACTGAGGCAGGCAGCAATTGGCTTCTCAGTATTTAAAAATAAATACATAAAGGCCACCTAGGTAAATAATTTTCGGCAAACTCCCCCACCCCATAAAGCTCTGTCACTTTCAAATCTCAGTTTTAAATTTCTCAAGGACAGTCATTCACAAGGCAAGGGAAGGGCGAAGGGAGGGTCAATTGGTCAAAACCCATTCATACATTCAACAACTAGAAACCAGAGTCTTGCTGCATCAGCACAAGATTTTAATTTACGGCGCACTGAAAGAGTCCCACCATACCTTCCGCCAACACCTCGTCCACAGTGACCTGCTGTCGCCCAATGCCAAAGACCCTTCCGATGTAGCCACTGCCCAGGCCCGAGGTGCTGCCCCCTCCTCCGCTGGAGCCGGAGCCCAGGCCAGAGCCGCCCTGCTCTCGCCTGGAGTCGAAAAACTTCTTCATCGTGCGAAAAGGAGGCAGTAAAGCAAAATACCGTCGGTTTCTAGATTTTTTTTTTTAAGAAAACAAGAGATCCAAGGATTTCTTCTCGGATTTCAGCTGGGAGAGGAGCCACCCGAATCCGGCCGTGGGGGTGGGGGCTGAAGGAGGATGCCTATAGGAATATGCGTGACAATCGCGCGGCGGTCCCCTCCTCCTCAAGAGAGCGATTCGTGTAAGTTTAAACCTGTGATGACAGAGGAAGAGAGAGAGGATGAATCAGTAACACACTTAAAAATTCAACTGCTGAGTCCTAGGGGGAGCAAAAGCCATCATCCTAGGGAAACGCTTCATGCATTTTCTTAGAGAGAAAAACCCTGGGGCTGAAAACACATCCCGGGGGCCCAGAACCCGGGACCCCCGTGC